TCACACTTCCTGCTTAGAATTGCTTTTGCTATTCTGGGTCTTTTATTTTTCCATATGAATTTCATGATTGCTTTATCTATTTCTACAAGAAATGTGAATCCTCTTCTAATTCTTGTTTAATAAGACTTTTTTGAGCCTGTGTTCCCTTGCTTTTATTAGGAAAGTAATAATCTTACCTTCAAAGGTTTTTTTAAGAAATAATGACGCCTATATATAGGCATTTAGCAAAGTATTTGGTGTTTCTTAAATAGTAGCTGTTATAGTAATTCTTAATATATTAACATATTCTAAGTTGAATGTAAATTTAATATTCATTTAGGAAAAATGTTAGTGGGCCCATTTGATAATCTTTCAAAAATATTCTAAAATAATTTATTTTTGTGTGTTAATACATAGTTTACTAATGTTATTTATGACCTTGAAATAGAACTGGGTCAAAATGAGTATTTTCAAGCCAAACTCTGAATAAAATATCTACATCCATACTTGGAGTAATCACAGGAAGTTTTGTAGAGAAGGTGGGGTCTTAAAGGTTAGAGAATAGAGAAGATGTGAATAAATACATGTGTGAAGATAAGAATATGCATGCTATGTTAAGGGACCAGTGAGTGGATCAAGTTAATTCTCCCTAGTAAATGGTGTGCAGCATAGAAGCAAAGTTTCCCAGTTATTTATAAGGGAGACAGGCCTTCAAAAACTAGGTGTCTTCAAGTGTTAGCTGGTAATCAGGAGAGATGAGATGTGAGAAATGAACCTCACAAGAGTGCAGAGTAAATTAGAATGTTTAATGTTTTATAATTGGATTAAATGTGTGCTTGTGTTGCGCAGTTATTTTTGTTTTTCAGTAGGAAGGTGATACTTACCCCCACTTTACTTATAGCCAGGTACAGTCCTTTTTATTTGCTTCCTTGTCTCCTTCATCTTCATCCCTAAAGAAGAGCAAATGAAACATCAGTAGGGAAAAGCTAAATAAAACCAGCATTTTTCCCCAGAAGGGACTCTAAATGAGAGAGCTGGACCTGAAAGATTTTGATGGATGAAATATGATTGTAGCTTTCAGATCTTGAGATGAGATTTGCACTGTGAGTCCTCAAGCAATGTTGTAGGGCCTAGAGGAAGAAAGAAGAGAACTGTCTTGGGGACTTGTGGTAGCAGCAGACATGACTGTGCAGAGGCTGGCAAGTGGTTGGGGTAGGCAGTGGACATCCTCAGGAAGAGGACAAACATGAGTAGTTCTTGCCCATATTAGCAGTTATTTGAAAACTGCTATGCCTTTGTTTTCACAGAAAGCTTGATACTTCCGCTGTCTGAGGATCACAGAAAGGGCAGCAGCCTCTAGAGTTGGGCAGCATCACACCCTTCTTTTCTCTAGGAATGGGCTGCATCCACACTCTTCTTTTCCTCAAGGAAATTAGGAAGCTTAAATATGCCCTTAAGCCTCCATCATTCAGACGTCTAGAAGGGTAGTAACCCCTATCTCTTTGAATTTCTTTGCCTGTTATATGCTTCATAGAAATGAATGTTCTGTAGAGTGAACACAAGTCCTGGAGTATAGTTATTGAATCTTTCTCCTAGGTTTTGAGAAAGTACCTGTAGGGACCCCAAAACTAAAGTGGAGTTCCCCTTGCCTGAATGAGCCTCAGGCCCTTAGTTCCTGAGTGGTATGAGGATTTATTAAGCCAGCAGGGGTTCTAGTGACTCTTCAACTTCATGAGTTGGCTTGGTCTAACTTGGAGTATGGCAACTGGGGTATGGCAACTGTGCAGTTAACTCTTATTATGCCTGATCACCATTATTTGCCTGCCTTGCCCCTAACTGACTTGGGACAATACTATTTGCTCCCAAGTTGGACTCTTTCTCTTGGGGGTACACGATATTTGGAATCTGTAGGAATTTCAAAATTTATGTTTGTAGTTTAAAGGAAGAATACTTTAATAGTAAGACTTTTTTGAGACATGTGGTTTTGTGTGTGAAATTCAGAATTGACACTAGATGGCAGTGATGACTTTTTGTGGAATATTAAAAAATGTTACAGATGAAATCATTTGTTTTTTAATTATCAAAAAAAATTATTCTCATTGAAATAATGATTTGAATATTGATGGAACTTGTTAAGATATAATTTCTCATCTGACTTTTATTCATCCTTTTGTTTTTGGTCTTCAGCATGGAGTCTGACCCAGAGTAGGCTCTTCATGGATATTTGATGAATGAATTTGGCCGTATTTTAAAGAATGTCTCATCAGACCATGACAGATGCAATTAAACAATTAAGGCATGCTTTCCCACCGACAAGCTCTGATGATGATCTTTTTTTACAGCATTAAACACCTAGTATCATTCTAATGGCATTGTCAAAGGAAATAAAACTGATTTATCATCTTGGATGTAGGCATATATGGGTACTACCCCAGAAATTAAACTTGCATTAATTGATTTATAATTAATTATTTTAAAAATAGCCTCCCCAGTTTAAGAAGGGCTTATGCTAAAGAAGGCATTTTCTTGGGGTATGGCAACTGAGCAAAATAAACTCCATGATGCTGATGTAGGCTGCCAGAATTCACCCAATGAAGATGGTAACTCTCCTAATCTTTTTCCCTGACTCAAACCTGCCTTAAAGACATGATTTATGGGCTAGGGATATAGCTCAGTTGGTAGAGTGCTTGCCTTCCATTCATAAGGCCCTGGGTTCTATCTCCCAGCATCACACACAAACAAAACAAAACATAATTTATACACAATACTTTCTAGCAGTTTTGTAGTTAAGAATCCTCCTATGAAGTCTAAAGCCTTTAATGTTTTTCATAATGGTCATTGATCATCTTTATTATGATCTGACAATAAGAAGTACACTGAAATCCAGCACATGTATATATGAATGGGCATGAGTGTGTGTAACAGCACAGGCCAATATTTTTAACCATACCATATTTGAAGATAAGTTAATATAATGAAAAATTTTTAAATATTTATGCTGTAGTTTCTTATATGTTCAACATTAGGTTTCACACTATTTCTACTGATTTATAACATGGGAATTGCAATTCCTTCTAAGGGCACAGTTAGAGAATGAAAAGAAGAAAAGAGAAATAGCAGAAAAAGAAAAAGAAAGAATAGAACGTGAAAAGGAAGAACTAATGGAACGTCTAAGGCAAATTGAAGAACAGACATTGAAAGCCCAAAAAGGTAAGTTTCTTTTTAATGCTGTATTCAAAATTATTACTTTACTAACAGGAGTATTTCCTGACTGTTTATATGTTTTTTATGTTATTTAGGACAGTTACATTTAATTGACAATGCTTATGGGAATTGGATCATAAAGACATTTTAACTAAAGGCACATTGAGTTCTACAGTGCTCATGTTCTCTTTAATATACTTAATCACAAATATTTTTCATGTGTTATAGATGAATAACTATTTACTATAGTAAATAACTATTAATTTATAACAATAACTGTCCAGGGTTCCATAAGTAAAACCATATGTTCACTCCTTTAAACAAAAGCATTTATGCAGTGCTTCAAAGCATTTTCAGCTGTTTTGAGTATATACACTTTTAGAACTCACTCCTAAAAAAGATTTTAGTGTGTTAGAAAACACAGCACACATTGTGGATATAGCTTAGTGATAAGAGCACTTGCCTTGCTATGTGTGAGACCCTGGTTCCAAATCCCCCAAACTACATTAACAACAACAACAACAAAAGAAAAATCCACCATACATGTAAGATGTGTTATCTGTTTTTGGTAGTACAAGTTTTGGAAGAAACTTACTTCCTAGGCAGCATGTAACCAAAATACTACAATATGGAAATGATACAAGTTTTTTTTTGCTATGTAATTTATATTAAGTAATTGTAGAATTACTACTTTCATACAGCAAATAGTAAAAAGAGCAAAAGAAAAAAGATACTGAGTACAATCCAATGTTTTATTCCTTCCTAAACAGTAGGATTTCAGAGGCGAACATGAAATCTATACTATTTATAAAACCAAATTTAATAACTTGCTTTCCTAACAACTAGTAGCCATTGAGTTCTACTGGAAATAACCAGTAGTCTTATATAAGGCTTATTTTCATTCCTTATAGCAGCCTCCTATTGGAAGGAAATGCTTTTCAGGAGTATGTAGAATAATTTGCAAGGAGATAGAGCGGAGAGTCACAAAGATAACTCAAGATGATTAATCATTCCAATTCCAAGAGAATTGGAAATATTAATAGAAAAAAATAGGGTTTTATTCTAACCAGTAGAAACATTATTTCTCAGAGTTACAGAAGACCTGGAAACTAAATTATTCGAAGCCCAAAAGTAGTAGAGTATTTGTTTGCAGACCACAGCTCAGGGATATAGCTGAGCAGTAGAGCATCTGCCTAGCATGCATGGAGGCCCTGGGTTCAATTCATAGCACTGCAAAAGGAAAAAAAGTGTACAGTGTACTAAAAGATGTTAAAAATGGAAAGTTTATAAACATTTATTGTACCTGTCTGATTTGAAAGATTGAACCAGCACTTTTTTATTTACATAACACCTTTTTTGAGAGAACTACTAAATATTTCAAACTCATTTATTTAGGATGTATAATAAAAATATTAATTTATATATGAAAAGAAACAAAGAAGCACTGAAGAATATAAGCGAGATAGAACATAAAGAATATAGAACATCCTGTCAAGACAATTTCAAATCAGTCATCTTAAAGCAAAAGACACCCAATTTGGTTTTTGTTTTTCTAATGAAGCTTTTCCAGGCTGTCCTAAAATCCACATGATTGTCTTGTAATTTATATTAAAATCTCATTCAAATGCAGTAACTTTGGCCATCTCTAAGTCATGGTATTTAGTAAATTGACCTATGATTTTTTGTGTGTGAGAAGAAACTTTATATTTCATTATTTCTTTTTGTTTTTATTGATGTTATTATTTTAGATGAATCATTAAATAGAAGCATTGTTCCACATGTAACATTTTAAAAATTACCATTTTTTAATTATTTTGAGGATATAATGGCAAATGATATTTGAATATAATACAGCCAGACCTGAATTCAGTTACTGTTCAAGCAAATATCAAGGTGAATTTTTCTTCTTCAGTAAGACAAACTATAGAAAAGAGTTGATATGTAATGATTGCATTTGGTCTGGATACTTTTTAAATCCCTTGCGTGTATTATACACGGTTCTAGGCATTAGGATATAGTACTGAACAGGAAAGGTCCTTGCTCTAATGGAGTCTATATGTTACTGAAAGAAGAGGATGAAATGGTAAAGTCATTTTTATATAGTTTTTAAGTGCCAGGAGGGAAGTAAGCATGATGTGATTAAAAGGAATAGTTGTGGGTAGGCAGGGTGATATTCACTTTGGATAAACATTGTTTACAATTAGGAGCAAAGTTTAATTCTGTTGTTAACTTATAATATGATCATAAGGAAGTAATTTCAACCTCTTGGTTTCCTTAGGTTCCTAAATTCATATTTTTAAAAAAATCAAAGCACTTTTCTGATAGATTCTTAGGTGTTGTACAGATACTTTTTTTTTGTGGGGGCAGGGAATAATCAGGGATTGAACTCATGGACACTTACTCTACCAATGAGCCACATCCCCAGCC